TTACCGGCTAGATCGATGTGACATCGAGTCGGGGTCCTGACAATCTGTGCCGGCAACATGCTCGCAAGGCTGCAGCTCACCATCATGTTGCATCACCTCTCCATTGGATACGAGTGAGTGCTAATATATTAACTAAACTCTTATTTATGCATATAATCACCACCATAATATATATGTGAGCAATATAACTCATTTGATAGTTAACAGCATATGTGATCATTTTATTCAGATGGGAGCTGTTGAATCCGAATGCGGAGATCGGTTACCTTCCACACCCAAGGCCGATGGACGGCGCAGCCATGGCCTTTCTGAAGTTCAGGCCCAACGCATGATCAAATGGCAATTCTGGTCAAATGAACCAGTCTAGCTATTGTAGTGCATGCATGCATGTATGTTAGCAAATTTGTGAGAACTGCATCAAAGTCTGATTTTTAAAAGAGACATTGTTGAGAATGCGGCGTTGTCTCTATAATTTTTTTTGTTGAAACGAGGCAAAAGACTTGCCATTTTCATTAATTAAGAAGAGAGTGAGAATTTTCCGGTTAATTGATGGAAAAGTGGGCTAAAACCGATACAGCCCAACCCACATGATATCGTAATCACTGGCCAACCTGGCCACTGACATGAAACATGACATGACGACACACGCCAACAAATGGCCATACACGCAAGTAAACGACAGCTCCGACTTTCACAACGAGCCTCACAAGAAAATATGTGGGTCTTGTGCCGATCGTGCGCTCTGCAAATGACAGATGCATGGAACAAGCGGCGGATGACTCAAAGTATAAGCAAACACGGCATTGTACCGTAGCGTGTGCTTCACATCAGAAAGTATCTTCCAGGCTACTTTCACCAAGGCGACAGGCCAAAACTAAAATTGGTGCCTTGTGCTAGTGAGAAATCTTGGAAAAAGCCACCGGCCCGTTTCAACCCTTCAAAGCCCCAAAGGAAGGAAATTCTCTAGCGGATTGTGAACAAGTTGTTCTTCCCTGAAAAAGCATGTTAGGGCATGTCCAATGCTTAGCCTCAGTGTGATGCCCCGTTAGCCATGTTCGGATGAATAAACGGGATCTTCTGTAGAAAGCGGGTGCTTGAAGAGAAAAAATATGGCGCAATGCATAAAGCTGAAAAAGTTGAAGTGAAGAGTAGAGATGCATGTGTAGTGGGAGTCTATATTTTCTATTCCTTGATGAGGCCCACTAGTGGTAGCTTGCATTGAAGAAAAACAATCAATGTAGATGTCTCAACCTACGTTTTCTCACGGGGCATCTGTATGCATACGTCACCTTTGTACATGCCCTTAGGGAAATAATTGACTGGTTTAATTAGGTTAGAGTGTTAGATGTACCAAAAATTATATTAGGGGTAAAATGGCGGAAACCTGGTACTATAGGGTGTAAAAAAACCTAATTATCTCTATTTTTTAGCCCATGCCGGAAGGATTGGCTGATGATTTTGTTTTCCTATGTCAATTTGGCTGTGTACAGAAACTATACAGAGAGCATTTGATCGCCGTGAAAAAATATACTAGCTATTTGTCAGTGCGTTGCAACGGCGGCATAAATATTCTAGTAGTTCAATATTAATCATGTTCAGGAAAACATGATCATCAAAAATACATGTGCTAGTCTTATAAGCTAGACTAGGGATCTTTATGGTGTTTATGTTTTCACATGTGTGACTGAGTTTTCCACCAAATCTCACATTCAAGGACGATTGAATTTAGGGCATATACAATGGTTGATAAGATAGTTTTATCTTAAGTCTTGCATGTAATTTAGAGATGACAAAAAAATGTCCATAATAGGTCATCTCTTAGCCTTATCTTCAATAACTAGCTATTCTTAAAAACGTGGTGAGACATATTGTGCTAAGACATCATCTCTTGTCTTCTTAAATAAGAAAAGACAAGCCATTTCTTATAAGTTCTCTCTCCTCCACCTTATCATTTATCCTATATGGCACTCCTAAGATAGCACAATTGTACATGCCCTTATATCACAGAAACATAAAATTAATTATGAACATGGAAATAGAATAATAATCACTTTATTATCGCCTCTAGGGCATATTTTCAACAATATTCTAGGGTCCAACTTCCTTCCTTGCGTATATATTCTGTCATCAAAAGCTTTGATCTTGTTGGAGGGGCCGTGAGGGCAAGGTCTAAAAAGTTTCCATTCTAAGCCCTCCATTAAAAAATGCTTTACA